AGAGTTAAACTTTAATGCCCTTAGGCTACACTGCCTGTCATGAATACATGTGATCAAAACTGGGACAGAAAGGACACACCAATTTCATTTCCTCTGAGACAAGAGAGAGGAAGATGAACCATGGATGCCGGGAACAGGGAGGGGGCTTCAACTGTGTTCATGTTTTCTTTCCTAAAAAATAAAAACTAAATTCAAAAGCCGAAGCCATTAGAAGTAGAATAATGTTAACATTAGTTCAGTGTGGGAGGTGGGGATATAGATGTTTGTATTTTGAAATATATTACAATTTAAAAGTATTTTCCTGTGGGGGGGGAGAACTAGAGTCACCACCATAGGCTCTGAACGTCCAGCAGGAGAGAGAGGCAGGCAGGTCAGAAAAAGGCGAGGGCTGGCCCCGGCCCTTCCAGACCAAGTACAAACTCTCCATGTGGCCTAACCTCCCCCACCACTCCCAGGCCCTGACCCCCAGGCCGGAGGCGCCACTGTGTGTCATTCAGAGGATGTGATGCAGCCCTGAGCCTCCTGTCACCTGGGTTCTCCCACCAGGAATGCTCTCCAGTCCTGTCCCTCTTCACCCCACCCCCGAGAAAGGGCCAGCTCCTAGGCTTCCTCTTTTCTGAAGCCTGGGGACCAGGGAGCTCCTCTGGGCTCCAAACAGCAGAGGAGTACCCAGCCAGATTACCCACAAGAGGCAGGGGAGATTCTTGGCTCATGCAATAAAGCACAGAAGGGTCAGGGGATGGCTTGATCCAGGCACTGAGCATCTTTGGGCCCCTCTCAGTGTCTTTCCTATTTTCTCAGACAAGCTCCTCCCCACGAGGGAGGCATGACTATGGGCTGCTCCAGGTTCATATGCACACAGCTTGGATGAGAGACACGAAGGACCTCTTGCTTCCATCTGAAATTTTAAAACAGCCCCAAGAAAGCTCAGACAGAAGTATCACGATGACCACAGCTGGAGTTATGTGCCCACTTCTGAATCTGGGCAGTTGTGTCTGCACAGGAGATGTGAGATGGGCCGAGCAAACCAAACCCATACACCATCTATAGCTCTCCCAAACAGTTTCCATCTCTGTCTCCTGAGTCCCAAGAAAAATGATCTGTCCCATCTTCACTCAACAGCATCTAATCAAAAGGAGCCATTGGATACCTACCATGCGCCTTGAGGGACAAAGGCAACTTAGATCCTGTCCTTGAGAAATAGGGAAGTGAGGTATGTAAAGGAGCTGTTGCAATGCAACATGGGCAGTCAGTAACTGAAGCATGTTCTCCACTGTGTGGGAACCCCAGAGGGTGACTTGGAGAGGGGGCATGCGAGCTACATCTTGAAGAATAAATAGGAGCTCTCTGGGTGCAGAGTTAGCAGAAGTGATGCCATGTGGGGACCACTGCTGACAAGGAAATGTGTGCACAATGGCATGTTTGCGTGACGGGGCACTGCAAGCTTAGGGGACAGTGAGAAGGTCACCGTATCAGGGATGTGAAGAGTTGAGGCTGGAGAGGAATCTGAGGCAGAGTAAGAATTCTTGCCTTTCCACAGTAAAGGGTTTGCCCTTCACGGTACAGCCAGCATGGAGCTGTTAAAAGTTCATTAGCTGGGGCATAACCTCGTCCTGGCTGTGCTTTGTTCTGAAAGCTCTGGGGGATGCACTTGGAAGTGGAGAGGGGGCCCTAGAGGACCTGAATCAGTTAGAAAGCTATTGTGATAACCCAGTGAGAGATGTCATCTACTGTGGAACATGTTCCTTTTCCATTTGTATCATGGTTTTTATGGACTTGTTTTACATTTCCCACAAAACACACACACACACCCCTAAGCTCCTCAAAAGCAGGAACAGAGGGTTACTGCTTGGATTCCTCTGGTGACAGGGAGCTCACTATCTGACAAGTAGCCAAATACAAAACTGCTCTAGAAAAATAAATTCATCTTCATATTTGCTAGATGGGCTACATACAGAAACCCAGGTATAGCGACTCACTGGGGCAGGAAGTCCTGGATTCCTAGCAAGGAGCAAAACTGTGAAAACAAGAGCCTTGTCGCCAGGGTAACCTGTCCTCCCCCAGCATATTGCTGGTCATGTGGTTTAGACCCCCTGAGCGTTTCCTCCCTAAAGATAACATCTAGGCCTCAGTTGTATTTCAGCTCCAGGCCCAGAAAAGTGGCAAAACCAAGACAAGTGGTGCCATGGCTGCCTCAGGACCAGATACACTGACTGATGACCCCCTGCCCTGGCACCCACCAATCAGTGGAGACCAGGACCCTGAAAGAGCACACCTGGAGAGCTGGTGAATATTCTATTGAGACCCTCCCCTGAGACCTCCCTTATGATCCCCCCCCCAAAGAAAAAGAAAAATACACTCAGGACAAAGGATTCAGCTTGCACGCCCCACCTGGGGAGCCTGCCAGCGCTATTTCCATACCCTTTCTTCCCTCTGAGAGGACCCAGACTTGTAACAAGGGGAGCAATGGGCAGGGGCAACTCCTCCGGGGGTTACCCCCTGAACCTGTCTCCAAGGCCTTCTCTGTGACTTCTCAGCGAGCCAGAGCACCCCAGCCTAGGTGCTCCTGTTGCTTCTTGTAGGCTTTCCCTTGTCTCACTGTCCCCAGTATATTTTTGCTGCCATCACAGACCCAACACCCTTTGACTCAGTGCTGCATAGCCCTTCCCTTCGGATATCCCCCGCACCCCATCCCCCTTTCCTTAAATAAACTCCACTTTTCTTTACCCACCATCTGAGATGCCTATTTAGCCTGCCCCGGCACCACCTACCTAACCTTTCCACACTGAACCAAGATCTGCACACTCTAGTTTCTACCCACTGGTCCGAATTTTCCAGGGGAAATCAGAAACCCAACCTGTCTCCTGTGTGTGACCTCTCTGCATTTCTCTAAAGACTGTTTAAGATGCATCCTTCCACCCCACCCCAAACACGTCAAACACCCAAATGTCGAGGCTCATTCCGCTGCTGCTAACGTGCATGGGCCTAGATTTTGCAAAGAGGGGCATTACTGCTTCCAAACACCTTGAAGGAAATAGCAGTCTTTCGGAAAAAGCGCTGCATGGAGGCTCGGGGTAAGATCCTGCCTCCCTCTCAAGCACCTGTGTACCCGGTGGCGAGTCGCTCAACCTCCCGGAGCCTGTTTCTCGGCTGCGAAGCGGGAGCAAACCGCGCGAGCAGCACGCGGCGC